CTGTCTTGCCACTGTATTTTGCTTCTAGTTAACTGTATTGTGCTTCTCTCGGGAAGTCTCAGCCCTTCCTATGGCTACAGCTTCACAGTATTATGTATCCACCCCAAGGCAGGTGGATTACACTGGAACCAGGTGGCCCTGCCTATTGTGTCTTTGTCAAGGAGCCTGACCATCTCTGCTTGGCATTCCTCATTGGCACAAAGGCACACCAGCTGCATCACAGGCCAGTTACAGGGATTCAAACTTAGACACTTTATTGCCCTTCTTGTTGTTATTCTGTAGTGTGTAACATTTTCACTTTGTCTCAGGATTCCTAACACCTGGTACATTAATTTTCTCCATTGTTTTCAGAGTCGTTTTTCAAAAAAGCTGAGCCGATCAGGCTACTTCTTTGCCTGAGAGCCTCAGATGTTCCTGTTCTCTCCACGTTGATGCCATACTGATGCATTTGCTTGAAATGGATTCAGCCTCTTACAATGGGAATCATAACTGCCACCATGCCTGTCAAGTTGATGCCATCGGTCCTTTGTGTGCCCTGCTTCAATACTTGCCCCATCTCCTGTACAAAAGCTCTGCTTGTCCTTCAAGACCCTACTTCTCATGATGGTTCCCCTGGGTCAAAATCAAGCCCCTACTCTGTGCTACTGAGCCCTTTATTAATAGTATTTACCACTAAACTTGCAATTGCTAAACTGTAATTACTTTCTCCACTTCTGAATAAAAATAAAATCCAGAGTATTGTGCTGTATCTGGTACATTGTAGGCATTCCATATATATTGTTGATTATTCAAATGTAATATTCTTATAATATACAAACCTTTTCACATTCTTAATTTTCTTCCTTCCCCTCCCCTTTCTCGTCTTACCTGGCCAAGTCTCATATATTTCACAATGGCCTCAAATTTACTATTGCAGTCAAGGATGATCTTGAACTTCTGATCCTCCTGCCCTCACCTCCTGAGTGATGGGATCACAAGTGTGCACCACCATACCTACTTTATGCAGGTCTAGGGATTGAACTCAGGGCTTCATGCTTGCTGAGCAAGCACTCTACCAACTAAGCTACACCTCTACCCCCACTTAATTGCTTTTAATCACATCATCATGATATATAATTATAATGTTTAGACAAAAAGGATGTTTTTATTAGAAGTAATAAGACTTGCTACACCTTTGCAATAATTTCCCCAATTGCAAAGGTTTAAAAATACACAAAGCAACCACCCATATTTAAAATAATAAAGGCTAAAGTGAACACATGGCTCATATTTTAAGAACAAGGTAATTATATAGATCGTGATGATGGCCCATGAGTATTGGTAAATACATTGCAGCTTCATAATTACATTCCACCACGAGATAGATTAGAGTGTTCCTTAGATTGCTATGAAAGCTGCAATTTAGTCAGTCTAAAACCTGCAATGAAAGATCTTCTTTTGATTCACAAAGAGTGGCATTCCCAAAATCTTTATAGCATCCACCCCCCTTTTTGTATGTGGTAAGAACAATCAATTCAGTTTTTAAATATTTAATCAGTAGACTTATTTTTCCAAACTTTTGAAAATGGTTGAACAAAAGTAACAAGGAAGAACTGTTGATCTGAAAGTTGAGTAATTGTCATCACAGTAGAAAACAGAAAACAAAACAAAATCAAGCAAAAAGAGACATCTCATTTATTCAAATAACATTTGATTATTCCCCCATTTCAAAATTGAACCCATTTCAAAAGAGAATTTTTGCTCCCACAGAAGCCATACAGAATAATTTGCTGTAGGTTTTGAAGTCAATAGGTAAACAGCCATTGGAAAAAGGCTTCAAGCAAGGCAACATGACTGAAGGTGGATCAGATCACTGTTTGCCAGGGCCGCCCCTGCAGTTCTGCTTGCACACTTATTAATTAAACTTAATTACAATGATTTCATAAGTCTCTCCTAAGGAGACTGAGCCCTTATCTGTTAGGAAACTTGTTTTATTATTTCTGTATTCTTAGTGCCCTTATATATCTATTGTCTAGAACATAATAGACATTTAATAAATGTTTGTTAAGGAGACAGTACTCATTTGGATAAGCATATGTTCTGAACCTTAATGATACAGCATAAGGCTAAGGCTATTCCTGCTTCTTGTTTACTGTAAATAACAGTTTCAAGTCTCCTAGCTCTATGGAATCAGTTTCATTTAAGTTTAAAATGCAGAAAATTTTAAATCAAAGGAATGAAGTTTAAAACAAAAAGTGAGATTTTTTGACACTGGAATATTATGGATGCAAG